TTATTCAACAATAACTCAAGCACTTGTAACAGACACAAATAATGAGTTCCCATTAGTTACAGTAGAAGTATCAAGTAAGTTATTGATAATAATTTTATATTTATTATGATTACATGTTTATATTTTAGTGGCATTTACTAGTGTTGCTTCATCAACAAGTACCAGCCCAGTCATTAGTACAACTTTTGTAATAACAACCTCTACAGCACTTACCACAGCTACTATTAGTACTACTGATAATACCATCATATCATCTACAGTGGTGTCCATTACTCCTAGTAGTACTTCATCTGTACTGGTCACTGCCACTCCTAGTTCATCAGTGACCACTGATACTCCTCCTAGTATCTCATTTATTATCAGTATAAGTGATAATTTTAATCCATCACTTTTGTCACATACTTATTCTAGCAGTTTATTTGATACCACTCCAGATAGTTCAACGGTGATCATTACTACTGCTCCCAGTGACTCCTCAGTTACTGCTACTACTGTAGCTAGTACTGCCCCTAGCAGTACCTCTGTGATGACTAATACTCCTTCTAGCAGTTCGTCTATGATTGATGCCACTTCAACATTAGTTTCTAATTCTGCCTTTAGCAGTACCTCTGTGATGACTAATACTCCTTCTAGCAGTTCATTAGTGACCAACACTACTTCAACATCAGTTGCTACTTCTACCTTTAGCAGTACCTCTGTGATGACTAATACTCCTCCTAACAGTTCATCATTTACTATTCCTCCTAATACTGTATCTGCAACTTCTACTGTGATATCTGTTAGCTCACATTCAACACTATCAACTGCTATCCTCAGCAGCATAGAACCATCTTCTCTCCCATCATCTGTAGTCAGTACATCCACATCATCTACTACTACAAACGCAACACCAGTTGCAGTATACATAATTGTAGGCATTGTAGTATGTATTATTCTTGCCTCTTTAGTAATAATAGTGCTGTCTGTTGCTGTTTGCATCAAGAAAAAAGGGCATGTTAGTATTGATTCAGCAGACATGAAAGACAATCCAGCATACATTGCTACTAATCCTGTTGCAGTGACAATACAAGATAATCCAGCATATGCCATCAATATCAGGAATGAGTGTAATGAAGTAGATTATGAAGAATTGGATCAAGTGATAACACAAGATTGTTCCTATGATGAAATTGATGATTATATATAAACATAATTATAGTTAATAAATGGGTTTTGTTGCTATGTTAGTAATTAAAATGAGCCACACCCTAAATGGTGCATGGAATGTGACATAATGTTTGTACTACAAATCTGTGAAGGGGCCAGAGCAAAAAGAAAGCGATATACCTTAATTAATTTATAATGCGAATTGAGAAAAGCAACACCTTTAAGATTCAAATGGTATATTTTACTATTCTGCATTCTGAACTAGCTGTTATCACTAACAACTGCATGTGGCATGTGGTATGTAGTGTACACCCCAAAGTATTTTTGTTCCTACTCCACTGTAGTGTAGGAGTAAATTTTATCACTATCACTGTTTTTATAGCATTGGGTGTAAGTATAGATATAGACGGAGAAAAGGATGAGACTTCTTTTAGCTGATCTGCTTTTATTACTAATTAGCTTAACCTGGTTTTTATCAAGTAATAAATAAAATTATATTGTTAATTTTCTATTGTTCATTTTAAAAGGTAATGTACAAAGTCAACAAGAATGTACAGAGAGATTTATGGATTTGTCACTGGTGACTTACAGAGCAGAACATATTAACACTAATGCAGTTGGTAAAGACATGGACAATGAGCTCAGAGTCCTTCAAGAGTATCAGTTCAATTGTTCATCCACTACTATAACCAGTCTTATATTGGGTATTGATGTGAGGGTAGCTACTGATAGACGTAATCTCTATCCCAGTGTTCAGGTCTTTAGACCTAATGGTAGTCTAGTGACTGGTAGTGAGAGAACTATTTATTATTCTACCTCTAATGTCAGTACTAGTGGAGTGTTTGAATATCCACTCAATCCTCCTATACCAGTAATGAGTGGAGACCTGTTAGCTGTATCACAACCACCTCAAGGGGACAGTATTGTTAGAGTCTACTATATCAGTGGTATAACAGCAAATAGTCGAGAGTTTAGCTATGGGAATGCACATATTGACTTAACTACAAATCCAATCACAGATCAGTTGATATTAGTATATCCAGTAACAGGTAAGACACACACTCACTGTATCATTGAATTATTTTACTATCATTAGATGGATACTGTGTTAATAGTACCAATTCAATCAATGCTTCATTTATTGAAGAAAATGCTTATAGAATACATGACAGTAGACTTCCAAGTGATGACAGACAATACTTGTATCCAGATATAGTGTTCTCTTGTAATGGTTCACTTACTAAATGGATCTATGGAGGTATATACAATGGGAACAATCCTTCTAATACACTACCTGAGCTCCAAATATGGCGTCAACTGGGTTCCAATGGTTTCAATAAAATAGGATCTAGTTTAGTTAATGCTAATACAATGATTGGTACTAATCTCTATGAGTTTATTCCTCAGACTCCACTGCAGTTCCAGGAAGGAGACATATTTGGTTTCTATTTCCCTAATACAGCTGATATTCAAACAGTTATTTATGAACAGGATGGTAGTGGACCAATCAATTATCGATCTGGTTTAGTACACAATCCTCCAAGTGCATTAACTCAAAATGATATCTTAGGAGATAGAAATAATTTCCTTCTTGTCACAGTTGAAATATCTGGTAGGTAATTAATTAATTTTTTTCAACTATAATTTTATTTGCTTGTTTTACAGTGATGCTGTCAAGTGAAACTCTATTGCCTTCTGCAACTGTAGCAATTGAAAGTATTTTTACATTATTATACATTTTATTAATAATAAATATTTGTAGGTTCCTTAATATTAAGTCAATCACTCACACTGAGTCTGGAGGACAATATTGAAACTGATCTAACTACTGCTGGTAAGAAATACTCATGCCCACAGTCATTCTATAAATCAACACACATATTTACTACTCTATCAATGACACTAACTAAAACTTATGTGTCAAATTACATCTCCTTATACTCATCATTTAAAGATTATGAAATATCCCTCTCAACTAGCTATAAGACTCTATTTTACTTCTTTATTTCATTTAATTTACTCATTTTAATTTATTATATAGTGTCTACAATTACACCTATTATGCTCATGTCAACAACTATTCCTCCTACTACTATTAACTCACCTGTGAATTCTGCTGTCTCTGCTGTGATATCTGCTAGCTCACATGCAACACTATCCACTGCTATACTCAGCAGCATGGAACCATCTTCTCTCTCATCATCTGTAGTCAGTACATCCACATCATCTACTACAAACACAACACCAGTGGCAGTATACATAATTGTAGGCATTGTAGTATGTATTATTCTTGCCTCTTTAGCAATAATGGTGCTGTCTGTTGCTGTTTGCATCAAGAAAAAAGGACATGTTATTATTGATTCATCAGACATGGAAGACAATCCAGCATATTATGTTGCTACTAACCCTATTGTAGTGACAATAAAGGATAATCCAGCATATGCCGCCAATGTTGGGAATGAATGTAATGCAGTAGATTATGAAGAATTGGATCAAGTGATAGCACAAGATTATGATGAAATTGATGATTGTGTGTAAAAATTATTATTTAAAAAATGGTAGTGATGTGAACCCATTGGAATGTTTGGAATGTGATAAATAATAGAGGGTGTGGCTCGTTACTCATCTAGCTCGATCTCGAGCCGAGTCTTCTATCCGTCTCTTCTAATGTCTCTGTTATCTCACATAAGAGAGGCTGTGGCTAATAATCAGCCTGATAAACTACGCTCCCTTCTATTACAATCTTCCCTGCCCAATTCAGAAGAAGAAAGCAAGAATAAAAATGAAGGTTTTTGTGTTTCTTCTCCACTCGACTCCTCACTTCAATTAGCAGTAAATTTAATAATCAGGCGTCAGGAGACTGAATCTACTGCTACTGAGGCGACTACAGTAGATTCTGGTAGCTTTGAGTGCGTCTCCCTGCTCTTAGAACACGGAGCGTCATTGAGTAGTCTCTCTAAAGATGGATTGAAAGGTGGAAATGTATTTGGTCTAGAGGAGCTGTTCGAGCTGTCATTGTATCTCTCCTCTTCTCCTTCCCTCTCTCACCTTCCATTACCTGTACTCTCAGGCCCTCTGAGACACGCCATTAAAGAAGGAGATATCAAACTATTAGAATCCATCTTGAGTAAGAATGACAAGATACCAAACTACAGGGACAGCATGGGTCTGACGCCACTTCACTATCTCTCAATGTACACGACAGAGGAACATCCCCTACTATTAGACGTGGGTAAGCTACTATTGGAACATGGTGCCAAACCAAATCTAGCATCTCGTACTGACCTCTCTACTCCTCTCCATTACGCCTGCCACCATGGTAACACGGCCATTGTCGACCTGTTGCTAAGGGAATCGATTGACCCAGAGTCCCTTCTATTGTGTCAGGATTCACTCGGGAGGACGTGTACACATGTAGCGATATACAATGATCACTGGAACCTTGTATCAGCGTTGGTCCAATCATACAGGGATCTATTAGCATCTGCTGAATACATAGTTGATCATAAAGGATACAATATCAGTGGGGCTTTGTTTTATGCTCGTTCCTCCTCCTCTCTCCCTCTCTCTCACCATTTATTGACTCCTTGTCTCTCTAAGGTGGAGGCCGATTATTGTCTTCACGATGCTGTTGCTGCTGGGAACGATGAAATGGTAGAGCATGCAATGGAGGGAGGTGCTGATGTCAATGTCTTTGACTTTTGTCAGCAGTCTCCACTTATTCTAGCATCGAAGCTAGGCCATCATTCCATCTGTAAGCAGCTGCTTAGTAAAGGAGCCAATCCTTCTCTCTCTGATAATTCTGGCTGGACTCCTTTGCATTACGCAGCAGCTAATGGCCACAAACAAGTCATTGAAGCTTTACTTGAATCAGGAGATGAAAAAGGAGAGAGTCTTGATCTTTATCCTGTTACTAATACTGGCTCTACTCCGTTGGAACTGAGTCTATTACATGGGCGAATTGAAGTTGCACGTGTGATCCTCTTATCCACTAAGAGAGAAGTGTTTAATGGTGACTGGATGAATCTCCTCTCATTAGCAGCTTCACTCAATGACCTGTCAATCATTAAAGATATTGTCCACTTGTTTTGTCCACAGCAATGGGCCAAATCATTGGGCAATTGGATCAATATACCCATCACCTCTCCTCATAGGGATGGAGATAAGGAAGAGCCAGAGTGGTCTTGCTTGGAAGTATTAACAGAATTGCCTTCACCTCCAACTCTCTTTCTCAAAGATATCCTATCGCCTAAATCAGCTCAAGAAAAATTCAAGAAGCATCGTGAATTCTTAGCCTCGTCTGGTCACTGCCAGTTTATTGATCATCATATATTTAATTCAGAAGAGAAGAGAAAGAGCAGGAAGAAAAGAAA